ATGCCCAGGTAGGGAGGTATATAGTACCCAAATGATACAGGCCCTCAGTACATATCTCTTCAGTGGGTGACTGGGTGGATGGATAGATAGGTGAATCTGGGTTACAGAGGTGTCAGGGCTATGATATTGGGAGGAAGTTTCTCAATTCCTTCAGTCTGTCTCTTTGTTGGAGTGAGTTGGAGTGAGAGGCATTTCAAAAATGGCTCTCCTCATGCTTTTCTTACTTGGGAGGCCTTGCTGGGGATGGGCTATGTTTTGTTCATCTGAGTGTTAGGCTGAGTGTCCAGCGCAGTGGCTGACACATAGTAGGCTCTTGGTTTTGTGGAGGGAACAAATGCTGAGGCTTCATGTCATTGCAGGAGGGTGCCCCTTGGGCCAAGTTCCCCTCTCAGTGTATCCCAGCCCACTCTGAGTAGCCATGAAGGGAGGCCTGCTGGCCTGAGTGCTGGCCCCACAGCCTCCTACCACCCCAGCCCCAGCCCTGTACTTAGTACAGCCAACAGTGCCCCAGGTGAGTCTGTAGACCCTCAACCTTCCCTCACCTTCCTGTGTTCAAGGCTTGTTTTCTCCACACCGTCAGGCTCTTTTCCTCATTCCTGACCTCTCTCCATCTGACACTATAGGGAGAACACGGCAGGTGCCTGGGGAGATGACTCCTCCACTTCAAGGATCCCGTGCTCGAATCAGGAAGAAACCCAAGGCTTTTCCCTACAGGAGGGAGCACAGTCCTGGGGGTGAGGGCCTTGGCTGGGAGATGGTAAAAGGGACAGGCAGGAAGCCAAATCTTGGACTACTCCCTCCTGGTGTCAGGAATGGAGGTGAGAGAAAGATTGATGTCAGGTGAGGCAGGAGACTCTGCTGAAAACATATTTCTCCCCAGACTTGCCCCCACCACCCCTGCCTCCACCAGAGGAAGAGGAAAACTGGGCCTTGGGACTGAGAGCAGCAGGCAGCATGTCCTCCTTGGAACGGGAGCACAGTGGGGAGAGGAGAGTAGTGCAGGCGGTACCCTTGGGGGCCCAACGGGGGCCCCACCTGGATGGTAAGGAGGGCTAGGGCAGCAGGATGGGACTGGAGGCTGACAGTAACCCAGATGGTACCCAGCTCACCTGTTACCTTCAGTTGGGTTCATGCATCTGGTCAATGTCAAAGGCTCTCTTGTCGCTCTAGCAGTCTGAGCAAAAGTCTTTCAAGTCCCCAAGATGTTTCCTTTACCCGGACTGAAGCCCAGGATGAGAGGACTGGGGTCTAGGTGCTCTGCTCTGCCTTCCCCAAGGCCCTTCCTGTTTGGGATTTCCCCACACATTTCTGAGTTCCTCACACATTCCTGTTGTGTCAAGGCTATTGCTGGGTGCTCTGCTTCTCTTTAGCCCCATCTTTCAGAACTTGGCAACTGCCCCTTGCTCTTCTCCTAGAGCTGGGATGGTGGTCAGTGTGGCAGGTAGGTGAACAATGATGTTCTGCCTCCTGCCTGGATCCAGCTGCCCTTCTCTGTTATGCTACAGAAGAGACCTGGCTTCCATATGGCAGACCAAGCTTCCTGACCCATGGCCAGGGTACCAGCACCTGTTCCACCGCTGGCAGCAACTCTTCCAGGGGCTCTGGCAGCTCTCGGGGCTCTCGGGGCCCTGGACGAAGCCGGAGCCGGAGCAGGAGCCAGAGCCAAAGGCCAGGACAGAAGCGTCGAGAGGTGGGGGCCAAGGATTGCAAAGAAATGAGAGTATAGGGCTAGAGAGGGTGACCAAGGGATAACTGAAAACAGGAAGGTAGGAAAGGACTTCAGAGGCAGTCAGAAAAGGTGTGCACATAATACAGCTACTCAAGAGGCAGAGATTGGATTGTGGTTTGAGGCCAGCATAGGAAAAAAGTCAGCAGGACCCCCATCTCAACAAATAAGCAGTGTCTGGTGGTACACACCTGTGATCCCAGCTTTGCAGGATACATAAGTAAGAGGATTGCTGTCTGAGGCCTGCCCCAGGCAAAAGTGCAAGAGTCTATCTGAAAAATAACTAAAACAAAAAGGAGCTGGGGGCCATGGTTCAAGTGTTAGAGTGATTGCCTAGCAAGCACAAGGTCCTGAATTCAATACCCTGTATTGTTGTCCCCCCCCTTTCCTTCTAAGAATAAAACCAACCTGGGCACATGCTTGTAGTTCAGCTACTCAGGAGGTAAAGGTAGGAGGATTGAGGTCTAAGTCTGGCCCCAGAAAAACTAGTGTGAGATGATCTGAAAAACAAACTAAAAACAAAAGGATTGGGGAGTATAAACGCAAGTGGTAGAGCACTTGCCTAGTAAGTATAAGGCCCTGAATTGAAACCCCAGTACTGCAAAAAAGGGGGTGGCCCATGAGTAGGGGAAGGAAGGAATCTTTGAGAAGTGACAAGGGATGAGGGCAAGATAACACATAGAGAGGAGCCTGGGTACCCATGGGAGAAATGGATTAGGATTAAGGGTGATTCTTTTATGGAGTATTACCCAGCTGCCTTTCTCTATCTCTCTGACTCACTCTCTCCCTCTCTTTTCTTCTCTCCCTCTCTCCTCTCCTTCTCTCCCTGTCTTTGTCTCTCTCTAGGAACCAAGATGACCCTTCATGAAATAATAAAAATATCAAGAGTTCTATGGGGGAAAGGAGTAGGCATATCTCTCCTTGTAAACAAGGGTGTGAGCCAAGAGGAGCAGGGATGGGGCTGTCCTCCCTCTAGCTCCCTCAAGTCCATTGGCCTCAATGGTTTCAATTGGCTTTGAAGCCAGAGAGCCAGCTCTTCCCTTTCTATTGCTTTCTGATTGAAACCTGTTTGTACAAAAGACAATATAACAGTCTGATCTGAGCTCTGGGCCTGTGTGTCTGTTTTGTGCAGTATTTTGGGAAGAAGGAGTTGAAAATATCTGCACACACTGTTAACTTCTGAGTCTTTGTGAACTTCTGTCAAAAGCACTAGGTGAAGACAGGTGATAAGAGACACTTAACTTGTCCTGCTTCCCAAAGGAGCTGAAGCCCACTGTCCTTCACTGTGTTAATCAGTTATTTATCTCTGTAACAAAATACCTGACATAAACAACTTAAGGGAGGAAAGATTTCTTTTGGCTCATGGCTTCAGCCCATGACTGGTTGGCTCTATTGTTTCTTGACTGTGGTTAGGCAGAGCATCATGGTAGAGACAGCATGTGGAGAAGAGCTGCTTACCTCATGGCAGCCAGGAAGCAGAAAGAGGCATAGAGGAAGGGAGGAGCCAATATATGTCATTCAAAGACAACACCTCTAGTGACCTCCTTCCTCTAACCAGGCCTCACCTCCTAATAGCCCATTGGTGAGGTTAGTGCTTTCATAATCTAATCATCTCTCAGTAGTGACACCAGCTAGGGAATAAGCCTTCAACATACGGCCTTTTTGAGGATACTTCATTTTTTTTTCTTTTATTATTCACATGTGCATACAAGGCTTGGGTCATTTCTCCCCCTGCCCCCACCCCCTCCCTTACCACCCACCCCACCCTCTCCCTCTCCCCCCCCAACCCCCTCAATACCCAGCAGAAACTATTTTGCCCTTATCTCTAATTTTGTTGTAGAGAGAGTATAAGCAATAATAGGAAGGAACAAGTGTTTTTGCTGGTTGAGATAAGGATAGCTATACAGGGCATTGACTCACATTGATTTCCTGTGCATGTGTGTTACCTTCTAGGTTAATTCTTTTTTATCTAACCTTTTCTCTAGTTCCTGGTCCCCTTTTCCTGTTGGCCTCAGTTGGTTTTAAGGTATCTGCTTTAGTTTCTCTGCGTTAAGGGCAACAAATGCTAGCTAGTTTTTTAGGTGTCTTACCTATCCTCATGCCTCCCTTGTGTGCTCTCGCTTTTATCGTGTGCTCAAAGTCCAATCCCATTGTTGTGTTTGCCCTTGATCTAATGTCCACATATGAGGGAGAACATAGGATTTTTGGTCTTTTGGGCCAGGCTAACCTCACTCAGAATGATGTTCTCCAATTCCATCCATTTACCAGCGAATGATAACATTTCGTTCTTCTTCATGGCTGCATAAAATTCCATTGTGTATAGATACCACATTTTCTTAATCCATTCGTCAGTGGTGGGGCATCTTGGCTATTTCCATAACTTGGCTATTGTGAATAGTGCCGCAATAAACATGGGTGTGCAGGTGTTGAGGATACTTCATATTCAAACACAATACCCAGTTATAACTATAGGAACTTTCCAAACAGACAATTAATAGACACTTGTCCCACCTTCAGAGGACCAAGCCAAACCCTTCTTTAGTGCTTTCCTCTGGGGTTTTGTCTGCTCTTCCATAAGGGAACATATCCCTCATAATAAAAAATGCACCACAATTATGTAGGAATAAGACACAATGAAATGCCCTGAAAACTGTTGAACAATGCAGGGTAGGGGGAAAAGGATATGGAAAAGTAATAGAGGGGGTTTGACTGAATAAAGTACAATTTATGTAAAGATAAAATACCAAGGCAAAATCTCACTGGATAGCGAACAGACACTACAACAATGAAGGACAAGACTGTAATACAGGTCATGTTAAGGGAAGGGCACTAGCAGAAGGGAGAGGATATAAGAGGGTAAATATGGCTAAAGTACTTTCTGTAAATGTATGAAAATGGAGTATTGAAACCTGTCGAAGTCATTTCAAGAAAGGAGTGGGAGATTAATGGAAGTGATGAACCAAACTGGGGTAAATATATATACATATGGAAATGGCACAATGAAATCCCTGTATAACTATCACATACTAATAAAAAAATAAAATTTAAAAACCCAAAGAAAGGAGTATCATATGGAGAAAATCCCAGGCAAAAAGAAAGAGCATGTTTCTCCATGCCCCAGACCCTGTCACAGGGGGTGTCTGCAGTTGGCCAGATTGGACCCAGAGGTTTAGCTGGCACAGAATTATAGAATTCAGCTATCACAGTCCCTATCACTCCCACCCTGCAATCCACCCACACATGGACTGTCTAAGTTCTTTCTTGCTAGCTCACCCCTTGGCTCCATGACTGCCCTCGATTCTTAGATATGGCCACTGCCCTTCAAGCACCAGCACTGACCTTGCCCTTCCCTTTGACATAAATATGTGCGAATCCCTCTTTCCCCTTCATGCTGGCAAACAGGGTTGGAATATTTTTAAAAGGAATTTTACCAGGAAGCTAAAAGAAAAACAAAATCCAAAAAAGGAAAAACAAATAGAACGGATGCATATCCGGAACGCTGATTCCTCCTCCCAAGATCATGACAATCCAGCTCAGACTAAGCACAACGCAGGAAGCACCCAGTGCCCCTGTCACACACACTCCACTTCTGACCTCAGAGTGGTCTCCAGGTAGAGTTGCTGGGTTTGGGGACTAGCATCCACTTATAGGGCCTTCTTCCAAATCCCCCCAACAAAAGGTATCCTCCGGTGTCCCTTGTCATGCTCCCCCAACTTGTGAATTCTGCCCCTGACCTTTCTTTCCTGTCCTGTGTGGAAGAGGCAGTGGCTTTCAGCGATTTTGGCCCTGGAAGTCTGTACCCTCATCCATCTCTCCATTCTATTGTTTTGTCTGAAGAGTGCTCATTAGCCAACCATCTCAGGTGATTGTACCTTTTGTGAAATTTAGCTACTTTGTCTATTTTTGAGAAACCATCTGAGACTGGTCTCAGGAGCAGGGCTGGGACTGCAGAAAGCAAGAGCTGTCTCGTTGGGATAAGTTTTGAGGATCAGCAGACCCCAAAACTGCCCCTCCCCTCTATTTCTTAGATTCTGCTTAAAATCTGGTAAGTGCTCTTCATTCTCCCTTCAATTGCAGAACAGAAATGAGGACACTCTCTGAGTGTCAAGGAATGACTGATTTCCTCCCCAACCCAGGTAACTCTTGCCCCTTCTCCAGGTGTCCTCACCAAAATAGTACCCCAAGGAATAATCTCACAGAACTCAAGTCTTTACAGTTTTATAGTGTCAAGTTCCTTACACTCAAAATGACAAAAAGATGAGGAGGGTGCTTTTGTCCCATGTTCTCAGACTTCCCTTCGTCCTTTAGCCTTCTCCAGAGACCCAGCCTTGACCCCTTGGCCTTAACACTAGTTAAGGCCCACTGCCTCTGTCGCTTTGCTCTTTATTTTCCTTACATGGGGAGAGTGTTGAGCTGGCTTCTAGGGGAGGGGCCCAGGTAGGGCCGAGATGGGGGTGGGCACTAAGAAGTGCTTTCCTCCAAGGCCCAGTCCCATAGCTGCTGTCCTCCACAAAGGCATCTCTGGCTCCCTGCCTTTCTCTTGATTTGCATGAGTGAGGAAAGCAGGAGGCAGGGCTGCTCCTTAGGTCAAAGGCCATGATAGTGGGAATGGCTGGAACAGAGGAGAGAGAGAGTCCTGAAGTCAGGTGGAGATGCTGCCTTCCTCCAGGAGGACTCCAGGTCTACTATGCTCTTATTTTGGTTTGCTTTCATTTGTTTGAACAACCCCAGTGGCAGAACTCTCTTGCAGCTTGGGGAAAGTAGACCCTTAGTGCAGAGAAACACAGGCTAAGATCCACAGGCCACAGGAGAGGTGGTCCTCATGTTCTTCTGACAGTGTCACAGATTCAGTTCAGGATGAATCTGGAGACGTTAAAGGGTAGCAGAGTTACCCCTCTGCTCTGCTCTCTCCTGCTCCCTTTTGGCTCCTCCCCAGGACCCCTCAGGTGAGGATTACCATGTTAGTCTAGCAGATAGACACTCACCACCAGCCTTGGGCACAACACCACTGAGCCGACTTCTTTGGTAAGAGACCCCAGAGTCAGGAGGCCAGGGGGGAAGCCCCCTTCCCAGCTGCTGAGTGTGGTTGATCTCAGCATCCTCCAACCAGTCTGGCCTCCACTCCCACAGGGGCAGGGAGAGACTGGGGGTCAAGAAGAGGTCATCCCGTGGGGAGGGAGGTGAGGAGGCATCTGCTAGGGAAGGCAGAGGTGTCAGTAGGGATTGACCTTTAGGCCTCTAGGGACCAGTTCAGGGCAGAAACTTAGGACCAGCTCTAAACATAACCTAGCCCACTCAGCCCACCAGTCCCAGTGGCTGCATCACCTTGGCCTAATCCACAGGTTTCTTTACAGAGAAAACTTAACCTGTCTCCTGCCAGCCCAGCCCTGGTTTCTATTCCAAACTCTCTCTTCACACCCCTGTTGCCTGGTATCCTTCTCCCTTCATTATGGGCACTTCTGTCCTGGACAATCCTTGTCCTCTCATTTGCCACAAGCCTCATTGTTTTTCTTGGGGGCAAAGGATAGAGTTAGGGTGAGTACGATGGTTATGGGGGATCTGAAGGAAGGGAACCCTGAAGGGACCAGTGGGGTCTGAATTGTCTCCCACTGATGCAGAAATAATGGCCCACTCTGGGTGAGCCCAGGCGCTTTTCAACCCCTGTCATGAACTGGACAAGAGCTAAAGAGTTTGGAAGCACAGCAGGAGCGAGGAGGCCTATGAAACACCAGATGAGAGAAAATGGAAAGACTGTGGGGCAACCTTCATGGGACCTACGTCTGAGTAAGAGGAGAGTCTAAGAGGCACGGGAATGGGTCATCCAGCTGGCTGCCTCCAGGCTTTAGAATGGGACAGTTTGTCCTTGTTCTCTGGATGATCCTGGGCAAGTTAATAAATCTATCTGACTTATAGTTCCTGATCTGGTAAAGAGAGGTAAAGAATAAAGAAGCCTTGTGTCTTGGTTGGGGGCAAGGGGTTGTCTTATGGGAGCTGTCACCATTCTAAGAGGGTAGAGGTCAAGAGTGTGATGGGGCAGTCCTACATACCAGTGAAGACGAAGTCTGCCTCCCTGGGCTCCAGACCAAAACCAAAGCTGTCCACAGCCACTGCCAGGGCATGGGCAAAGTGGGCATCAGCAAGGAAGGAACCATCCGAGGAGCTGACCAGGCTGGCTCTGGCACTGGGGACATTGTCCTCAGAGGCTGAGCCCCAGCCATTGACCAGGGAGCCCTCACTGGGGGTGGGGGTGGGGCAGGGCCGAGGTGGGCACAATAAGCCCCCCACCTCAGACCCCACCCCTCCTCCAGCCCTGCCCATGTCCGCTAGTCCGGAGGCTGTTGGGATGCTGATGTAGCCATAGGTCGTGGGAGGTGAAGGAGCCCTTGGTATTGGAGAGATGCTATTCCTAGGAAGGTGCAACACAGGATAGAGTATAATGGTTAAAGGCGAAGAAGCAGAAAATGTCAATTGAGACAGGTACACATGCTCCCATAGCAGGCTTATCTGGAGTTCTTCAGCCTACTTACGTGGGTGTCTCCTCGCCCTCACTGAGTTCCAGGCACAGGGCTACCTCCTCCGGGGTCAGCACACTGTCCTGATCCTCTTCCATGGATGACAATGAAGAACTGGATAGGCGGCTAGAAGCTGGGCTGGGACCAGATAGGGAAGAGGCCTGGGGGCTGGCAGGCCTGGAGGGGCTAAGGATGGGGAGTGGGGATTCTGGCAGTGGGTTGGAGGAGGGAGTTTGGGGCTCCACAAAGTGCCTGGTTGGGGTAAGGGAGGAATGGTAGGAAGGTTAGTGCCATTCTTCAGGTCCTTGTCCACCTTCCCCAGCCCATGTCCAGTCTTAGCACACACACCCCACCCCTGAAGTCTCCCAGCCCCACTTCCTGACCATATCCTCTTACTGGGTCTGTAGGCTCTGAGTGGGGGTTCCACGAGCAGAGTTTGGTACTGAAGGGAGAGGGCGAGTGGCCAGCTCGTTTGAGTTGCGGAGGAGCTGAGGTGCCAGGGCCCGCCAGGCAACCAGAGCTCGGGGCACAGCTCCTGGGGAGTAAGAGCCTAGGTCTGAAAACAGCAGGATCTCACTCAGCCTACACCCCAGTCTGCCTGTCTGTCCCCTCCCCTACCCCCAGCCTCTGCAAAGACAGGAGAAGCCATGAGTAGGAGCCTGAGCTGGTGGGCCCTACAGCATGCTCACCACCCCATTTCTCCCTCAGGGACCCTCTCACCTGGGCTTGCAGAAAGGTTCTTGGAGGCTCTATTTCCCAACTCCCGGGCCCAGAGTTCCATGGGGTGGCTGCCCCGGAGCAGTGGGGAGCTGTTGGCTTGGTGCAGCTCTGCAAAGGAAAGGGTTGGCAGTTAGGGAACATGCCAGGGTGGGTCTCTCAGAGTCTTTCAGGCTCTGTCATTAGGTTTGTTATTCATTTCAGCCTATTGAACCTGGATCCAGAGAAAAGAGAGAAGAACCTACCCCAGTCCTCTCTTCACAACTGTCTTCATCAAGCAGAAGGAGCATTGGATTTAGAGCCAAAAGACATTATAGTCTGGGTCAGCTGTGCAACTTCAGGGAATCCCATTAACCTTTCTGAGTCCCAGTTGCATTTTGTAAAAAACCACTCCAAAAGATGGTTTTGAGAGCTAAATAAAAAGAGATTGCAAAATTCCTGCCACCTAACAGATACTTTAAAAACCAACTTTCTTTCCTTGATACTCCAGTCTTCCTGATCTCCATTCCCTCCCAATGATGCTCTCCTTGTGAATTTTGTCTCTGTGAAGACAAATACTTCTTTTCTTGGAAAAATTTCCAAGAATAATTTCCATTTTTCCATTGCCAATATCTCATATGGTTCTGGATAGCCCCACCCTGAGAAGTGTGAATGCCTCTCATTTGGGGAGGTAGGTTGAGCTGTCAAGTTGAACTGAATGAGTAAGACAAAAACAGGGAGCCAGATAAGGCAAGAGAGAGTCAGCTGACAAAAAGAACTTCAGAATAGTAAAATGTGCTGGTCTCACTTGGAAAGGCAAAGACTTGCCTATAAATATCCAATAATGTTTGTTGAACGAATGAGTGAATGCAAGGCTGACATCAAAGATGTGGGTGTAGACACAAGGCAAAAAGAAGCACAGGAAAGATGGCTGCTACCACCTGTCTCACATGGGAACAGGAGATGGGGCTCTGATTGAACTTTGACCACAGAGAAGTAAAAAAAATAAAAACACCAAAAGGACCAATTTAGCATGTGCCACGACTGGCACATATGCTTCTTGATGAGGCCGGACCCCAAAGAAACCAAAGTTTAACCAGAAAGGAAATGGGTAAAACAGAGAAGATATTTCCTCAGGACTAGAAACCAAAAGACCAATAAGCAAAGGAGAAAAGAAACAGATTTCAAATTAGTGTCATGTGATGAGAAGCCCAGTAAGAAAGGGTTTCTTTCTTGACCAGTCAGGCCAGGGAGGACTTCAAGGTGTAGCTATACAGTCAGCTTGATTTTAAAAATCTGGGAGTCACACTGAGTGGCTTCAGAGCAGGGGATAGCCTAAGGCCTTGGTATTGATTAAGCCCCATCTGGCCCTGGGAATCCATGTACCAGTGGCCTGGCCCACTGGGATAAAAATCCTCACAAAGGCTGGTCTTCCTCCACCAAAGTTTCCTTTTGAACTTTGGTTGGTTTGATTTTTATTCATTTTCCTTAGCTTCCATATGACTTAGGGAGTCAACTTCAAGCCTTGTGATCTAACTGCCCTCATCACCTCTGTCTTATCTGGAGCCTGGCTTGGTGGCTAAGCTCAGCAATGAGAGCACATACATTTAGTCGGTTGGTTTTAGTGGGAAAGGAAGGGGAAAAGCCAGATCTGGAAAAGGACATATTTACCCCACCCCATTTCATTTCCTCTAACAGACTCTGGCAACAAAAGACCACCTCCCACCTTGCTTGGAGTTACTTAGGTTTTAGTTTCAATGCTATTTGAATGAAATACCATGAAAAGGTTATCAAGGTGAATGGTTGAATCTCACTGGATATATCTGATTTGGATGGGATAATGAAAAATGAGGACATTTGGTGCATATATCTGGCAAAGTAAGCAGAAGAAAAACCTGATATAATGGATTAGAGACAGACAGCAGTTGTGAGAATATCAATAGTGGAGAAAAAACCCAACTAAGGCCAAATAAGAATAAGGGACAAGCAGGTCAAGGAGAGTAGAGGGGCATGGGGACTGAGAGACAACACCAGTTTTAGAAGAAGAAGAAATGGCAGTGTTTTGGAGTAGGTTATAGCAGTAGAATCAAGTTCATAGTTTCGTTCAAGGTCATAGCAGGCTCTTGTTGGTGCTGATGAGGTTCTGGGAGCCAGAGATGGAATATCAAGTGTCTGCCAGCCAAGGGGGAAGTCACTAAGTTGATCTGTTCTGGGGCAGTGGGGAGACTGGGTTAGAGAGAAGAGAAACAGGGTGCAGTATGGACTTAAACCGCAGGCTTGGAAGCCTCATTACAGAACTGGAAGCTTTTTTTTTAATTGTGAAAAATTTCTTTTTTAAAAAATGTACTTTTAGAGACTTAGTTGTAGGGCTTAAGAATTGGGAATGTAGCTCAGTTGTAGAGTGTGTGCTTAGCATGTGAAAGGCCCCGGGTTCAAACACCAGCATCAAAGAAAGAAAAAAAAGAAAGGAGGGGGAGAGGGGGAGGAAAGAATTGATTGTAGAAAGATTACTCACTTTTTCCTAGTAGTATTGTACTAAGAAGTGATATACACTATTAAAGTGAGCTCTCCACAAGGGCTACACTGTGATTTTGCTTCCTGTTTATTTATTTATCTATTTTTGTGCTAGGGACTGAACCCAGGGTTCATGCATGTACTCTGTACCACTTAACTACACCCCTAGTCCCCTCAGTGAGACTTATTTCACCACCTAGGATTTATAATGCTCTGAAGCAAAGTTTGTAAGAATGCCAACTTTGCTAATATTTAGAATCAAATGAAATTCTCTATATTGAACAAGCTCTTAATTATTTTCTTTAGTTTCTTCAATACTGGGGTTTGAATTCATGGTCTTGTGCTTGCTGGTAGGTATTCTAGAACTTGAGCCATGTTATTTTTTTTTGTAGTTATTTTTCTGATAGGGTATTGTGTTTTTGTCTGTGATCCTCCTATCTATGCTTTCCCTATAGCTGGGACCGTAGGTACACACCACCACACTCAGCTTACTGGTTAAGATGAGGGTCTTATTAACTTTTTTGCCCTGGTTGGTCTTGAACCATGATCCTACTGAGTAGCTGAAATTACAGACGTGAACTACCATGGTCAGCAAAGCTCTTAATTATTCTTAATCCACCTTTGCCTTCTTAATAAAGATTGAATGTATCTACTTAAAAAAATTAGCTGCACAACACTTACTAAGTCTTTTTCATCAGTACAGAAGCCACATGAAGATAGCAGGCAGAGTACAGGACTATGTTCTGCAGGTCAGAAACTGGAGAAAAGAGCCCCTGAGAGAAGAGAATTTCTTAAGGAGTTTCAGAGAGGTTCTAAATAGCCTTCTGAGGCAGATGATCCTGGCTTTAAAGTTGAGCTCTGCAACTTATTTACTTGTGGGATTTTGAACAAGTTACTCAATCATTCTATCCTCTTTCCCTATCTGCAAAAATAGAGAAATGATACCTAAACAATCAACTGTGAGTAGTAAGTGAAGTAACACATATAAGTAAAGCAGTGAGCACATAGTAGCTACTCAAGAAATGGAGACTATAGTTATTTCTCTTTAGAAAGTCAAAGCAGGCAGCTGGAAGTCAGGAGAGAAACAGGTTCAGAAAGGAAATACAGCGGTTCTTCTGTATCATGGGGAATTGGATCAAGATCCCTGGATGCTCAAGTTCCTTATATAAAGCAGCATAGTATTTGTACATGACCTATTCAACCCTCACAGGTATTTTAAATCACTTCTACATTAGTTATAATACCTAACACAATGTAAGTACTTAAATAGCCGTTAAACTGTATTATTTAGGAAATAATAACAAGAAAGTTTGTACATGTTTAGTACAAGACACTATTTCTTTTTTCTGAATATTTTCAATCCACATGGTTTGAATCCTCATAGTTGTCCATGAATGTTGAACCTGCAGATACAGAGGGCTGGCTTCACCCATTCCGTTCTGAGAAGTGAGTGTGATGTGTGGTAGATGAGTTCCTGAGAGCCTGAGGCTTCCTGCCAGATTCTGCCAGACTCTAGCATTACTTGTATTGTGGTCAGCACTTTTCATCACACAGACTGGGAGCCCTTAGAGGACAAGGGCTGTGCCTGGCTTCTTTTGTGCCCTCCATGTTGGCATGCAGTGGTGCTTAAAAAATGTTTGCTGAGACAAACCAACTGCAGAAACAGGGCCAACTACCATAAGCAAAAGCTGAGGTGTGCAGACTCCTGGCTAAGTGTTCTAGGGATAGGAAAGAAGTTTTCTGCCCACCAGAAGAGAATAGTTGGAGAATGGTTGCTGTCCAGCTTTGAGGCTAGCAGGCCACATTCCCACCATAGTCCTGGTCCCTCCCACAATCAGCCCCAGACTATGTCTCTCTTCCCCATGCTTACCTTGCTTCTTTTTGGCCTTCAAAGCTTCTGCAGGGGCCAGAGACAAGCGTGGAGAAGAGAGTCCCCTGCAGCTGCAGAGGCTGTCTGAGCTGGGCCAGGGGCTCGAATTTCCAGCCAGCTGGGGTGGAAGACGCCTAGCAGCTGGAGCCTGGGGGCTTGGCCGGGCTGGGGGGCTTGAGGGCAGCTCTGCGATGAGGGAGCCATAAAAAGTGCTAGTGTCTGGAAGCAGGGGCACACCAGGGCTCCGGGGGTCCCAGGAGATAACTGCAATAAAAATGACAAGGAGTTACTTAGAGTACATCATATCCCATGTCCCCACTCTCCAGTCCTGGGGTCCCTGCCCTAAGAGGCCGGCTTACGGGAGCGCCTGCAGTCTAGTGGGTCCCGGGGGTCCACTCCCAGCCGACTGCTGAGGCTGCTGCTGCTGCTCAGGTCCCGAGAGCCAGAGGTGGAACGCCAGGTGTCTGCCAGCCAAGGGGAGTCACTGTGGTCCATCCTAGGGACAATAATGGGACTGGGGAGTGAGTCAGGGAGAAACAGAAGTGGGAACCTAATGAGTCAAGACCTCCAGCTCAGAAGGTGACAGAAGGAGTTGAGGAGATAGTGGCATTGACTTTATCTTTACTACTGCTTTTGAGCCCTTCACATACTCCCGATGATGTTTCACCTGGAGCCCCTAACTTGGCACCCCTTCCTATCTTGTGATAAGGGAAAGCCCAAGTTGCCCAGAGCTAGTGGTATTAAGGAGAGACAGCTATGGATGCTGAGATGAAAAGAAGAGATTCAGAATCAGACAAACCTAGTTTGATAATCCCAACCTGCCACAGCTTAGATGTACAATGCCAGGCACCTAAATCTATTAGCTCCTCCAAGTCCCTGTTTTCTCATCTTCAAAATGGCAACAATAAGAGCTTCCATATTAGGCAGAGGCTGTGAGTTCTGAGGAAATGTGAGATCACTCAACTGGCAGAGCAAGAGCTTGCTACATGGATGTCAGCTTCCAGCTGCCTTAATGATCCACCAAGAACAGGGATCTGACCAAGGCACTTCTCTGCCTAGACCCTCCAATGACTCACTATTTACCATGATACAGCCCAGCTGCCTAGCATGGCTAACAGGACCTTCACTAGCCTGACTTCCAGCTTCATAACTTTATCCTATAATCTGATTCATCTCCTAACTGGTCCGAGTAACACTTTAGACCAATGGCTTGCCTTTGGGCAGAGCAGTCTATTTTCTGCTACACCATCTGCTTTTCTCCCTCTTCTCTTCTCTTCTCCCTCTTCTTCTCCTCCTCCTTCTTGGAACTGAGGTTTGAGCTCAGGATTTCATGTTTGCAAAGCAAGCACTCTGTTTGCACCATATCTCCTGTTCATTTTGCTGTGGTTATTTTGAAGATGGGGTTTTGCAAAGTATTTGTCAGGGCTGTCCTCAAACTTTGATCCTCCCAATTTCAGCCTCCCAGGTAGCTAGTGTTACAGGCATAAGCTGCTGGCATCCAGCTGCTCTTCCCTTCTCATCAACAGGTAAATATAGAATCTTTATTCTATGTTTCTCCACCCTGACCTCTTCTATGTCAAGTATATGTTTTTGCACTGCCAATGCCTGTTTCTGCCTAGACTGCAAGTTCCTGATAGATGAAGGGCATTCCACAGGAATGAATGGACTATATAATCAGTATGGAATTTCCCTTGAGGACAAAAGAGAAGGTCCCAGGGGAGCAGAGTAGACAAAGCCTAGGAGGTGGTTAGAAGAGAAAAACCAGTGCACACAGAAAAACTCAGAAACACAATGCCAGGCAGCTTGGAACATTGCTCTGGGTTGAGAATACAAAAAGCAAAAATGGCAGCTCAGGCCTTGACTACAACTAACACATAGTAGGTATTCAATAAACTCTTGCTGAACATCACAGACCTAAAACATGAAGACTGCTATGGAAAGTCTAACCACATAAAGAGCCAAAGAGCCAAAAAGATGGGAAGAGAGGTGAAATAGCTTCTTAGTGTAAAAATCAGCCAATGGGGGGGAAAAAAACAAAAACAAAACATTTTTTTGTTAGAATCTTGTCTCAAAGCTGCAGACTTGCTCTGTAAGCCAAGCAGAAGTACCTATAGACTGGCTCTGATTTTGAGCACTGAATAAGAATCTAGATAGGGGCTGAACGCCCTCTACTGGAAATGTGGGTGGATTGTGTGCAGGACTGGTTGTTCAATAGGCATTTGTAGCCTGCAGAGGCACTAGTAGGTAGACACTAGGTAAACAGAGAAAACTAGACATTAGAGCTGATCCCCTCATGCCTGTTACTACTTACCTAGCAGAGTGAGTCAGCAAGAGAGAGCAGTGTTTGTTAGTGAGAGCAGGGTGACAAAGAGCACTGGCTAGGGGTTCCTAGGGCCAGCTACTAGTTGTGAAGCTTTGTCTAAGTCACTTAAGTTTTATGACTCTCAGTTTGCTAAGCTGTCAAGTGGTGTGACAGAACATTAGTGAAAGAGAAATCCACTGTCACTCAGAGTCCAGGAGAGATTCAGGTACCAGGATTGCAAACTGCCTGGCAGTAGAGAAGACAAGATCCATCCAATTCCCTGTTCCAGCTCTGTTAATACCCTTCTACCATTCCCATATTCCTCACTTTTTGCCTCTCACCTGTGTTTTAGGATGGCATCTTCACTGGTATATCTGTACAGACCTGGGAGAAAGTGGGAGAAAGGCTAAATGCAGAGTACCCATCACCTGGCCAGAGATCTAAACTCTCTTCAGTGTTCTGGCTGGACTCAGGGTTGATCTGGTCACCTGGGCATGTCCCCTCTTACCTGGGCCCAGGTGCACCCCTGCTTGGCGCCGGCGATAGATACACACAGCAGTACCCAGCAGCAGCAGCCAGAGCAATACAGCCCCACTGGCGATGACCTCTGGCCGTCTCAAGGTGGCTCTCAGCCACTCCAATGTCCAGGGGCCTTGCTCACTGGGTTCTCGGGCTGATTGCTCCATGGCCTGCTCTGTAAGGGATGTGGAGTTCATGGGAAGGGTAGGTGAGGCAATGAGGATGGGCAGTCAAGAAGGAGGAGCTAGAAGTGTAAGGCAGGAGCAAGGAGAGGGGTTGGTATAGGGGCTAAAGGGTACGAGTGAGCCATGTGGACACTGCTTCTCACCTAATAGGAGGCAAACAGGGCTACTGGGTTCCCCAGCCCCAGCCCCAGTGACAGCAGCCACTTGCACGCAGTAGGATCCTGGCATTCGGGTGGCAATCTCCAGCTGGGTCTGCTTGCCTACTACAGTCCAGTTGGCTGGGGGCAATGAGGTGTTGCCCATACTCCAGACCTGGGGCACAAGCAAAGGTGAGCAGCTGTCCTGATACCAACCCAGCAGCTGAGCCCTTCATCTGCAGATCAGACAGGTGGTCATTCTGCCCTGCCATCTACCTTCTTCCCAACAACACCACAGCTCCTATTCCCTTCCACTACCAAGTGGGGAAGACTTCTCTCTAGGTTAACAGAGGGCAAAAGTGATCTGTTAAAATATGACTCAGACCAGTGATTCTCAAATTTCAACATGTTTCAGAATTGCCTGGAAGCTTCATAAAATCACCATAAGAGTGGGACTAAGGTTGAAAGGAGAAAAATGGAAGGGATGAACCAATTTGGGATATAATAAATTTATACATAGAACTGTCATAATGAAACTTCCTGTGTAGCTATCTTAAACAAACAGAAATGTCTTTTTTCCAAACACGAAGGACAGGAAGGTAAAATAGATCCTGTTTGGGGGTTGGTGCCAGTGGGAAGGGGGGAAGATATAGGGAAGGAGTGAAGAAGGGTGAAAATATTATGTACTTATGTATGAAAATGGAAAAATGGAAAATGGAAGAATGAGACCTATTGAAACTATTCTAAGAACAGAGGAGGGGAGATAAAGGAGAATGACGGAGGGGGTGGATTCAACTATGATATAGTGTAAGCACTTTTGTAAATGTCACAGTGTACCCCCAATACAACAATAATATGATAACAAAAATTTTAAAAAATACAATGTCCATGTCCACTCTTGAGTTTCTAATTCAGGAAGCCTGGCAAAGGACCTGAGAATCTGCATTCCTAATGAGTTCCAATGTGAGGCCAATGTTGCTGGTCAAGTAGCCACAGTCTGGTTTGTTTCATGTTCTGTTTCCTGTATCTATGACCTTAATCTTGCTTTCCATGTGTAAAGTGGGGATAACAACCCAGGGCAGACTGTGAGATGAGATGAGATGTTGGGGGTTCATAAAACCCCCTGGTTGGCAGGGTCTGGTCCTTACTCAACAAAAGTAAGTTTCTTTTGCTTTTCTGCACTGTTACTATTTCTCTGTGGCCAAAGCAGGGGTATGTGAGACTCTAGATGGGCCAGTCTCACCAAGAGAGTCTGTGTCAGCTTGCAGGGAGTACCTGGTAGCCACGGATGTTGCCATTGTGGTTTTCAATAGGTGGTGGAGCCCAGTTCACAAGGACACTGCTGTTGCCAGGTTTTAGGGTCACTTCTTGGGGTGGTGCACTGGGCACTGGAGAGAAGAAAGAAAGGCTGTGAAAGGGTCCTAAAGGAGAGGACTCTTCCAGGGAAAAGAGCTGGAATGGGAGACACAGAGTCAGAGTCCCACTGAGGAAAACAGAAGCTTCTCACAGCTCCGCTTGCTGGTCAGGGTAGAAGTGAATCCACAAGTAAGAACTTCCATCCCCCCCAGACTGGAGTGGGACAGTATAGGGACTCCTAGTAAAGAAGGAACTTGGGGGTATATTTCTGGGTCCTGGGAGGATCTGTCTCTGACCTTGTTCTGGCAGCCGCAGGAGCAGCACGTTGCTGTCAGGGCCTTGAGCCCGACCAGAGGATGGTCTCACTTTGAACTCGTAGTCTTGGCCCCAGCGGAGGCCCTCGAGCTCTGTGCTCTGCCAGCCAGCCAACAACACCTCTGCCCATGGAGCTCCCTGGCCTCCTGGAGTCCTCTGGGCCCTGAATAAGACCGTGTAGGACTGAGCAGGTGCAGCAGGGCCACTCACCTGGGAAGGAGCCAGAGGAAAGGAGAGGGGTTAGAGAGCTCATGACAGCTCTTTATTGAGTTCTGGGGTGGCTCACCCCTTGGTCAGGTACTGGGCTTCACCTTCCAGCTAAGCCACACAGTTGGCCCAGGCTTATGTCCTTTCATGGGTTTTGGGTTCAGCAGGGTCACATTTTCCAGCTGAATGCGCACAGCCAGAAGCTCCAGAGGCTCCTTGTGGTCCTTGGACTCTGTGGGGAACATAAGGCTGGGATGAGGCCTATGGGCCAGAGAGAAGGGATGGAGGAGTACGGCATCTCCTAGCCAAGGAGGAACCCACACTCCCAGAGTTCCCAGGTCTAGACCACTCCTATTTCTACTCTAGCATGGGTGAATCTCCCCATATAGGGGTCCTTCATCACTTGGAGGCCCCGAACTGAGCCACATATACCCTAACACTAGCCCATACCTGACCACACTACCTCAACTGGAGCCCCCCGCCACCTTATCTTGGACTTTTCTGAACCCCTTGTCCTTACCCTGGACAGACAGCTTAGCTACCCGACTCTCTCGTTGTCCTGCGTTATTGATGGCCACACACATATAGGTCCCTACGTCGCTCTTCTCTGCTCTTGCCAACAGCAGGGAACCCCTGGATACCTGTCAGGGCCAGGTACACCATGAAGTCTTCAATGTAGGGATGGACTCAAGGCTGGAGGGCAACTTGAGACCACATTGCTCACCTTTCTGCCAATCTTGCAGGGCACATGGGTCAGGTCAGTCCCTCAGGGTATGCCCAGCTTAGGACAAAGTGTGGGGAAGAGACTTCACTCACCGTGTGTCGTCCTGGCTGGAGAGCCAGAGGTTTCCCATCTTTCCACCATGAGACTGCAGGCTGTGGATAGCCCCAGGGTGGCCCACACTCCAGAATCACCTGCTCACCCACTGTGGCCACTGTATCTTGAGGCTGGATCTGGAAATCCTCTTGGAGGACTGTGGGAGGATGGTGGGTCAGCAGGGAGCAGGGCCCAGGCTTCCCTTCCCCAGAGTTCTTCCTTGGCATCCCCTAGCACTCACCCCATTTTGATTTGCCTAGTTCCCAGACCTACCTTGTAGTGCTGATCCAGTGCAGCTCTCCCTGCCAAGTCCCCTAACCCAGGATTCCTCTCACACTTCCTTCAACACAGATGTCTCAGTCCTGGTTTGTCCCACCTTGGGCATTCCCTCCCAGGCCTCACCTGCCACAGACAGCCTTGCACCTCGGCTGACTGCTGTCCCCAGCTGGTTTCTGGCTTCACATGTGTAGATGCCCAGGACCGCAGACAGGGCCTGGTCATTGTGGGCCTGTCCCTGGGCAAAGGGCCACCGCAGCAGGAGGGTTCCATCAGGTAGAAGTTGGTGTAGGTCTGGGGGCACCATACTCAAGGGCTGCCCATTTAGCAACCAGTGGATGGTGGGAGGTGGCTGGCCAGATGCTCTGCAGCTCATCTTGGCAGGCTCTGGACCCTGGAGCAGCTGGTCCTGGGGGTGAACTAGGATCTGGGGTGGAGAGTCCTGAGCCATGCCTCCTGGGAGAGAAAGGGAGGCAAAGCCTGGTCTGACCATCAATAAGGCCCCTAAGCCACTGTACCACATTTCCTCGGTCTTTTGTGTAAGAGTGTGGCCTGATGGCAAGTACTACTGAAGGCTGATTCCCAAATAACATGCTAGCTGGGAGGGAAGAGGGCCAGAAAGTATAGTATCCAGACAGCTCTTTCTCTCTGTCACGCACACACCCCCCTTCTCCCTCCTTCCCCCACATGATACCATCACTACTACCACCACCACCACCATCATCATCACTGGTATTCCTACTGGAAAGGGGAAGTGAAGAAGCCAGGGAGCAACTTCTGCCCTGGTCAGGCCTCGGATTGTGCACTAGGAGAGGGAGGGCCCTACTCACCCATAATGAGCAGAAGCAGAAGAGACAGGGGCCACTTGGTCCCAAGAAGTCCCACTCCCCCATAGCCCATAGCTGCTCCCAGGCCTCCGTCCTTGTCCCAGGCACTTTGTGCTGCTGCTCTGAGCTCACAGCAGCAAGGGAAGGAGGGCGGGGTGGGGTGGTAGTAGTTGTTTGTGACCGAGACTCTGTCCCAGTAGGGAAGCGGCTTTGAGGAAACCGATGCTTCCTGCCTGGCCCTTGGTGCCTTAGAGAACTGGGAGGAGACCAGAGGCGAGAAACTCTCTGACCTCTGCCCTTTAGCCATTACCCCCGACCCTAACTTCAGCCCTAAGTTTTACCTCATGTCTAGTTTAGGATTTCTCCTTTTCTTTTTGTCAGGGTCTTGCTATATGGCCCAGGGTATCCTAGTAGCCCAGGCTGGCCTTGAACTCTTACTCTTTCTTCCCAAGTACTGTCATTAAAGATGCTCACCACCATACCTGCCTGGTTTGGGATTTCTTTTTTTTTTTTTTTGTGGTACTGGGGCTTGAACTCAGGGCCTTCACCTTGAGCCACTCCACCAGCCCAATTCTTTATGATAGGGTGTTTCAAGATAGGGTCTTGCAAACTATTTGCCCAGGGCTGACTTCGAGCTACGATCCTCCTGATCTCTGCCTCCTGAGTAGCTAGGATTATAGGCTGAGCCACCAGTGCCCGGCAGCTTGGGATTTCTTAAAGGGAAACTTCACACTGCTTATAACACAATCTACATTTTAATCTTTCAACCCTAAAACTCCTTGAGTCTCAGTATTTATTGCTTTGCATCCAGGTGGCCACCTGCTAGAGTAGAGTGGAGACTTCAAGGTAGAGGATCAGGGCACATCAGTAAGAAGCAGAGGATGGAAGGTAGTGAGCTATAGGCTGAGGATTAGCATCCATCCTCTTAGCAGTGGAGGGAAGTAGGCACGGATAGTCCATTTTCCCTTTCCCCAGGGCTGGGGTGGAGAGGACAGAAGATAGGAAGATAGAAATGACTCAGAACCTTGGGGACAAACTGGGAGATTCCCACAGAGTGTGTCCACATTCTGCTCAAAGACAGTGTAATAAGCTTCTGTGAGACCTTGGAAAGATTCCTTAAACCTGCAAATCAGTTTCCTTATTGGTAAAATGGGAATACTAATAACAGGTCCTAGAGTAATAATGGAATGAAATAAAGCATAAAAACAGTATAGATAGTGCCTGATACATTATAAGGGAAGGGTTTGCCCACTCTATTTGTTTATTTTTATGTAAGTCCCATTACTGAAACTATTTGAGCATCCTCCATGGGAATATTTTTCAGGCTCTGGAAAGGTGGTTGGAGTGAAGGACCTTTTCAGAGTCTTTCCGGTCCTGAGGCCATGTCTGTATCTATAGTGGATAGGCGTTGCAGCTTCCCAGCCTGCCATGTCAGCCCCTCCCTATAACCTGGTTGGCCACACACCCCTCTTAGAGCCCAGCTCCTGTTTACAGGTCTCTTCCTTCCAAATCTGGAATCTCAGTCATTTCCTGGAGCTGTTCACGGAAGGCCAAGGCCAGGCTCTGGGGCTCAAAGGAAGAGTGTCCAGCCTTTGTTCTCAATTGTTCCAGCCAGCTTCTCTGCTGGGCCCCTAACCCAGCTGACTCCCTCCCTTCCTCCCCCTCCCAGCTGGGTTCAGGTCCAGCCAGAGCCTTAGTAGCCTGCCAAGGGGAAAGTCTCATTCACTCCTCTTCCTCTTCCCATTTTAACTGAGACCAGGACACATTGGGATAGAATCAGAACAAAGGAACACAGTGGTCTTTGCAAAACGGGTGTGTGTGGGGTAGTTATGGATGTTCCCATGGGATAAATAATAGATGGAGTGAATGTACTAAGAGTTACCGAAGTGGAAGGGTAGGAGTTAGGATCAAAGAATGGAATGTGGGATTTTAGAAGTAGTACAGCCAGGTGTGTCAGCACAAACCTGTACTCCAGCCCTCAGGAGACAGAGGAAGGAGGATTATGAATCTAGGCCTGGGCTACATAGTGAGATCGTGTCTCAAAAAAAGAAAAGAAAAAAAAAAACACACAACAGAAACAAAAAACACGCAACAAATAAAAAGTGGAAATGCTAAGGATGGTAAGGGTGGTGACCAAGTCCATAGCTGGATTGTGGGTCTATGTGTGGCACACACAGCAGAGTAGGGTTTGTAAGGTCAAGGATCTGTAGGGCCAGATTAATAAAGGGGATATTTATATAGACAATGAAGTCAGGCAAGGAAGAGACAGGAAAGGATATGGGAGGGCAGGTGGATCTACTGTGCCTTTGGCCAACTTGGGGTTTCCCAGGTACTGAGCCTCCAAGAGTGATCAAGCTCTCCAAGGACATTGCTATGAGCAGTCCCTTCTTCAGTCTCTTCTGCTTTTATGCTTGGGGAGACTAAGCAGTTCTCTGCTAATGTTGTAATGCCAATTTGATTTTATCCAAGTCTCTATGATCCAGAAAGATGGTTTACATTTCCCTCAAGGGAGCAGAAGGCTAGTCACAAAGGATTTCAGATCCAGCCCTAGCCCCGTCCTCAGCTGAGTGAGAATGGAAAGTAAGACAGCAAGGAGAGGAACTAGTGCCATACTGTACGATGGAGCCCCAGAGTTGATGGCAGCTGAGGAATGGCCCCTACCCCACACTTGCATACCTCATGCCTGGAGCTGCCTTTGGTACAGCCTCTCCCCACTCCCAGACTCTGAAGAACTGAATACGAAAAACTGGAATGGAGCCATTCCCATAGGACATGAGGACTTCTACTCAGTCCAAGCATCTGGGGTACTCAGATATGAGTGTGATGGTCAATGGGACTTCCCAACAGAGAGGTATGTCTGGATGGCTCACAGAGGTCACAGTACTCATTTCCAGCAACCTGGTTCATCAGTACCCTGATTATCTCACTTCCACAAACTAAGGAAGAGCTGATGGCATGAGTCACAGGGGTGATGTAGATGGATGAGAGCTGCCTCCTGCGTTACTTCAGACTCAGTGACCAGTTTAAATAGTGCCTTCCATCACCCCTAGTGGTGGTGTTTTGTATTTTTTGTGAATAACTCGGTAGTGTTTGTAAGAGGGAGAAGAGAGAAGGATCAGGCACCTTCAGAGTGACCCTTCAGAGGAAATTTCTCTTCACCTCTGGCTCCTGCCTTCTCTCCTTTCTGTGATGTTTTCTTTTCTTTGTTTTTGGAGGGGTTGTTTTATTTTTTATTATTGCATTACTGCTGTATTGGAGGTACACTGTGATATTTATTCTGTGATATTTTCTGAAGATGCAGTCAGTCAGGGACTCCTGCTGGCCTCACTGGCAGGGTAAAAGGTATGAACTCATGAGGTAGTTGAAGTCAGTTATAGTTATGTTGAGATCCTGTTTCCATCTTGTATTGATGAAAAAACCTTGAATAAACTGAATAATTACTTTGAGTCATTTCCTCACCTGTAAAATGTCCACGAGTCAGTAGTGTGAAGTGTGTTGAAAACAGGTATGTGTTCATTGTCCCCTAAGTGTTTTGCTGAACAGCATACCCCTCTAACCAGCACAGCCACAGCAGTTGCAGTCACCCCCAGGTATTCAGGGGCTATGAGACCTCACCCTTTTTGGCCTTCTTGTTTCTTTTCTTTCCTCTTTGTTTGAGTCAGCTTGGTCTCAATCTCTACAAATTTTCATCTTTGCTCCAAGATACCAACAGCTGGAGGAAAATTGAGTCAAAAGAGGAAACAATAACACTCTCATTTTCACAAAAATTGCCCTCGTGTCATTTCACTGGCACAAGTTCTACTCCCTAGTGTCTGGTCCCATCCCTGGGACCTGAAATCACACGTACACTCTCAAACCAACATCTTCTTCACATTTTTAACACCAATGATTATGAGTCATACCTACAGCAAACACTGCCCACTTGGAGATTTCAAAGGCTGCTGATGGCAATATGTAACCATCTGTTGGTGTGTTCAGCAAGAAGGGGGAATCAGTTAGTATACTTTGTGTTTAGTCTGTCAATGTCCTACAACTGAAGACCAGTAGACATACCTCATGTTGAGCAAGATAGAGAGCATGTATGCCATGGGCAACTGTGGAGTGTCTCAGAAAGAGAGCTGCTAGGAAGGATCTATCATCAGATTGGGGTTATGATTGGGTGATTTTGAGGAGAGTCCAATGAAGCACCCTGAATTGGGTGCTCTCAGGAAGAGAGGACATTCTATGATGCTTTGTAGAAGAGTGTCTTTGGTAATTTCCTTGCAAAGTAATACTTAATCAAGTAGTTCTTTTTCTTTTTCTATTAGAAACAGTGCTGCCTTGGGTCTTCATTTTATGTGTCTCTGTTTTGGTATGAATGCATCCCCTCAAAAGCTGTATTGGAAACTTAACCCCTACTGTAACAGTGTTGGAAAGGGGCTGTCTTTCTTTTCCTTTCATGTAACGTCTGACAAAATAATATTCCACTGTATGGATGGACTATGGAGGTGGGGCCAAGTGGGAGCTATTTTGTTCATGAGTGCTCCACCTTCACGAAGTCATGAATGGATTAATGCAAATTAAAATCAGGCTTGAGGCTGTGAATTGGATCTCTCTTGTGGTTCACCTCCTCTCTCTCATGCTCTCTTGTCCTTTCCACCATGGAATAATGCAGCAACTAGGTCCTCGAAGTTGTAGGCCCATCTACCTTGGATTTCCTAGCCTCCAAAACTATAATAAATAAAAGTACATTCTTTATAAATTATTAAGTTTTAGGAACTCTGCTTCACATAGCACAAAATAAATTAAGGTAGTCTCCCAATATAACTGTAAGCATTTAAGAGTTTCTTAAGGGAATAAACCTAGGTAGAATTTCTGAGTCCTGGAGCATAAAAATATTCAACTTTAGATGATATTGACAAATTGCCTTCCAAATCAGTTGTATCAATGTCTTTGAACCACATCCTCAGAACAATTAGTGAACTGTACATAACATGGTAATCAAGTACATAATATAGTAATTTATAGTTGTCTTAATTTGCATTTTCCTGGTTAAAAACATAATAAAGCAGAGCATCTTTTCAAGGGTTTACTCACCATTTATGTTTTCTCTTTCGGGAAATATCATGAACACGTGGACCACTGAGGTCTTATTTAATGCCTTTCAATAAAGGTTTGTAGTTTGCTCTCTACAGATCTTACACATATTCAATTGAATGTAGTTTTAGCTAACTTGTTAAGCCTTGTGCTGCAGATTAGTTGTAAAGATGGCTGCAATACCTCTACCATCCTTTATCCTTGTCTCCTTGTAATGCTTGTTTCCCCTTTCATCAAGAAGAAAACTGATTCCTCAAACCGTTGAAGCTGGACTGTCCTTGTGAATTGCATTAATCAAAAGAATATAGTAGAAGTGATGTTGTGGAAGTTCCAAGACCAAGCCTTAAGAGGCCTTGCAGCTTCTGCTCTTGCCTGGAGAAACTGTTTTGAGACTTCCATGGGAAGAAACTTGGTTTAGCCACAGAGAGCAGAGATGAACTACTGTAGCAGAGCACTCCTAAACCTACTGATGAACAGTAAGCCTCAGTCACCAGACATGTGAGTAAGGCCATCAGTCACTAGGCACGTGGTCATTTAGGCATCCAGTTCCAACTGACGCTGTTAGATGATATAGTCACATGCGTGACCCCAGGAAGCACCAGTAAATGAATTGCCTATTTGAGTCCAGTCCCAATCATTGATACTAAGAAGTGCAAGCAAACGAAATTGTTATTGTTTTAAGTTACTCAATATGGAAGTGATTTATTACTAATATTATGTCTAATAATTTGTTACTTCTTTTAAATTTGTTATATAGAAAATCACATAACTTAAATATAATGGCAGTTTTGGCTTTTGTTTCCAATCTTTACACTATTATTTTCTTGTTTTATCAGTACAATGTTGAATAAGGCTATGATTGTGAACATTACTTCTTCATTTTCAAAGAATCATTTCTAGTGTTTAACCATTAAAAATGATGTACACAGGGTTGGGAGTATAGCTCAGTGGTAGAATGCTTGCTTAACACACTCTAGGTTCAATCCCCAGTGCCAAAAAAGCTTTATTTATGTTCTTTTATTACAGTGTGTTATGAGCTTTTAATCATGATTAAAAATGAAATGCTAGAAATGTTTTTTGTTGTATCCACTGAGATAGTTTGTCTCCTTTAATCTACTAATGTGGCAAATGATATTTATGAATTTTTAATTTTTTTTTTTTTTTTGGTGATGTTGTGGCTTGAACTCAGGGCTCACACTTGCTAGGCAAGGCACTCTTATCACTTGAGTCACTCCACCATCCACCAGCTTTGCTTCTGCTTCAATTCTCTTTTGGGGGGTGAATTTTCTAATGTTAAGTTATTCTATTCCTGGCATAAATGGAGTTTGTTCATGAGAGCACCCTTTTTCACATTCTTGGATAATTTGCTTATATATTGTTGAGAATATTTGCATCTATGTTTATGAAATTGGCCTGTAATTTTTCTCTCATACTTTCATTGTCTCTTTTTTTTTGTATCAGAGCTTCATTGGCCTCATGGGATGAGTTCAAGAGTATATACTCTTTTTTTTTGTGACACTAAGGTTTGAACTCAAGACTTTGTGCTTGCAAAGCAGGAGCTCTACTGCTTGAACCATACCTCTAGTACATTTTGCTCTGGTTATTTTGGAGATGGGGATCTCACAAACTATTTGCCCTTTCTTCAGCTGTATTTTATGTATTGTTTAACACTTTCATTCAATTTTTATTTCAATACTTTTTTTTTTTTTTTGCAGTACTGGGGCTTGAACTCAGGGCCTTCACCTTGAGCCACTCCACCAGCTCTGTTTTTGTGGAGGGCTTTTTGAGCTAGTCTTGGGAACTATTTGCCCGGGCTGTCTTGGAACCTGCCTCCTTGAGTAGCTAGGATTAAGGTGTGAGCCACTGTCACCCAACTCAATAAGTTATATGCTTATTATGAAAATTCCACTTTGTTCTTTTGCAAATTTGGCCACTTGTTCATTTTTGTAATTTAATTTTCTATTTCTTTAAGCATTTCTTAATTATTTTATATCTGATCATTTTAATATTCCTAGGCTTTGGGGATTTACATCTATTGCTTCTTGTATCTTCTGACTCTCATTTATTTATTTGTGTATTTAATGACATTTTTTTGTTGTTAATTCACCTCAAAGCAGGACCTAGTTGATTTGAAACAGGAATATCTATCAAGTATCTAGGCTCAGGTGTCCAGTCTTAAGTATTTGGCAGAAGTTTCACATGTCAGTCATGCCATACCTATATGCAATCTGGTTTTAACCCTCACTGTACAAATGAAACTATTTATGCCAAATTGATCAATGATTCCCATGTTGCCAAATTTAATGTGTACCTTTATTGTTGTTTTTACTTTGCTGAGACTAGAACCCAATACCTCATGCATGCTAAGCAAGCACTCTATAACCCGAACAACACCACAACCCTTGATCTGCACTTTTAATTCCTTCTAAAATGTGAGCCCCTTTCTGAAGTCCTGATGCTCCCTCTTTCTTGAAACAGTCTTCTTTGATTGTATGATACCATTATTGCTTATATTTCCTCTTGTCTCCCTTTTATGTGCCTTTTTAGAATCCTTGGTGAGGTTCTTTGAATCTATTTACATAATATAATCTTTGAGGTCGTCAGAGATCTACCATGAGCTTTCTTTACTTTCCATTCCATACACTTTCCAGAAATAATCTCATCTACTGCCACAGCTCAGCACCCTGAAAACACCCTATGTCTTACACTCCTCAACTTTTATACGTGCTTCTCCTTTTGTTAGCAATGTGTCTTCTCATCCTTTTAAGTAATCTTTCTAAGACTGAGATCAGGCCTGTTCTCTAAGACACTCTTGCTGACAGTCCCTAATGTGGGTAGAATAACTCTCCTGCGGACTCCCAGAGTCCTTGGTATCTACTTCTGTCATTGCATTTTATACTCTGTATAATAATCTGTTTACTTGTCTTCCTCCATGAGGTTATCTTCTGGGTAGGTCACTGTCCCGTGTGTAGCACAGAATCTGGTCAATGGTAGATAAACAAATGTTTGTTTAGTAAATAAAAGAACACCTGAATGAATGAATGATGATTTTGGAGTAGATGGTTTGGATTTTGGAAAGAGGGTAAAGGGCAGTGCAGGAAGATAAGAGATAAAGGAAATGATTTATGTGTTAAGTTGTTCATTTTGTTCTTCTTGCTTAAGTGAAAAAAAACTAACCATTTCATTTCATCAAAAGTTTATTGAGCATCCAGTGTGTGCCAGGCACTCTGCTAGATGCTAGTGATACAAAGATGAAGATCAAAACAAAATAAAGCAAAACAAAAAAAACCACTTCCTTACTACTCCCCAATTTAAGACAGATTTGGCTTGAGCCTGGGAAGCGGGCCCCTCAGGGATTCAGCACCAGGGTGTGTCATGCTCATCTCACCCTAACCTTCATCCCTATATCTGAAGTCAAACCAGCAGGTACCCCTTCTCCAAGACTTGCACCTCCTACCTGCTAGAGCTGCTTTCCCCTATATGCCTTATCTCATGATGGATGAGGCACCCTGTAATGTTAGGGGATTGGTTCTGGCTAAGGGAAAGTGCCTAGGGGCAGGGAGCTAAGAGATGTGCTGTTGGGGTAAGAACAGAGGGGGCAAGCTAGAAGTCTTGGTGCTCTCGAGGCTAGGCAAAGCATGCCTGGGTGTGGAGGTGGTGGTTCAGGGGCTTGGGGAACTGCGCATGGGATGGTGGAGAGTCTGAGTTAGAGCTTAGTTGTTGAGGAGAGGTCAGGGATGCAAGGCCCTCTGGGAACAGTAGGGAGGACAGGACAGAACACCTATGGTTTCTTTCTCTTTTATCTTTTTAACTGCCCTCTCTCTTCACACCATAGTCTATTGCCTGACCTCCATACTGTTGGAAGACAGTGGCCTGGGTATGACCCGACCTCTCGGTATTTGGATGATAGTATGCTTAGGTAGTCTGCCCTGTCCAGTGGCCTGAGATGTGAGCATCTGGGAGCAAGGCAAGTGGGGGACAAAAGGCCAAGTTTGCCCTGACATGCTGGGAAACAATAAGCTTCCTCCACTCCCCATCACTTCTCTAGAGATCAGAATGTCATTCTCTTAACAGCTGGCGGAAGTATCAAAACCTTCCCAGGAATGATTGTTTGAAATGCTTGTTTTGTAAGGAAGCCAGGGAAAAAAAATGTGAGGGGTTAAAATCAGTTCCCACCAACCTAACTTTCTGGGCCAGGGGTGAGTGGGCATGCACTTCTCTATGGAGATAAATCCGCCTATCTTTTCATGAACAGAGACAGGAAGAATGCCCGAGGGAGGCTTCGGGAGGAGGCCAAGTGTGGGAGCCTTGAATGCTTTACTCTTCCTAGAGCCAAGGTCCCTATGCGGGCTCCTCCCCTACCACATTGTACTAGGGAACTAGGCACCCAGAGGAAGTATTCTAAGACCCTGCCTTCACAATGATTCCTTGGTGCCCAGAACAGTCCCTGTACAGCCAGGAAGTGGCATCGGACTTGTCCTTAGTTAAGGACAACTGTGCGTTTGGGGCAAATGTTCTTTCTAATCTGGACTAATGCCGCAGAAGGAAAGGGAGGTGGGTGAGAAGCATAAGGACTCCCTAGGAAGCGCCCAGGATCCTGGTGGGGGTTAGGTTACTGATGTTAGTTTCGTAAGACCCTTCTGGGGGTTGGGCCAGAAATTTAAAAATCTATATAGTCCTAAGAGTGCACAACCCATACTCACTGAGAACACAGCCAGTAAACCCAGAGCAAACGCAACCTGACTTCACCACCAGATCAACTCCCACCTGCGCATGCGCTCACAGATCCGCACTCCAGACACCTGCGTCCCCTCGCCCCTAGCTGGCGGCGCCTTCTCGGCCCAATCCCCGAACCGCCGGCCGCAGACCTTGGGCACCTCGCGGGGTTCCCAGGGCGGCTCAGGCGCTGATCTCCACCGGGCCAGCCTCGTCTTGCTCGCGGATTATGTGCACGCCCGCAGTCCGCAGTGTGCGCGAGGCGCTGCGCGAGCGGCCCGGCGAGCTGGGAGCCCGCGGCGGCGACGTGTGCGTCCGGCCGGTGGCGGGGGAGCGCGCCGGGGAGCGCGGGTAGCGGCGGGCTGAGCGGATGGGCAGCCCCGGCGAGCGGCCCGGCACGGGCGGCGACACGGAGTAGCCGGGCGGTCCGGGCTCTGTCGTGCTCCGAGGCTCTGGAACAGGGTTCTCTTCGGGCTCCGGGGAGTCCTGGAAGGACACGCACCGCAGGGGTCAGCGGACTGCTGGCCCAGTCTAGGGAGCGCGCCCGGTGTTGGAGCGCGCTGGGGCTGGCGAGGTGGAGTCTCCATACTCCACCTCCTGGTAGGCGGCAGAAAATCTCTTTTTCTGGGAACACACCTCACTTAATTAACATGGTGCCTAGCAGATAATAAGTGCCCAGTAAATGTTGGCATGCATTAAGTGCTTTGTCACTTTAATTCTCCTCTTTGCACTGGTTTTGGGATAGCCTGAGACATAGTCATGAAGTTGGAAATCAACAGAACTGATGTCCAAAGACCTAGATCTGTCACTTACTTACTTGTTTAATCCTGTGCAAGTCATTTTACTTTTCCTAGCCTTATTTTCTAACCTATAAAATAGGGTAACACAAAGATTTCACAGGTTTTCCAAGTACTATTGAGGGATACCAATGTGGTATGGCTTCCTAGCATGTGGTGGGGGTTCGCGGTGTTTGGGGATACCCAGCCCAGAGGTGCTCACCTTGTCCTTCAGGATGTAGAGTGCCATGGGGTTCTTCCGCTCCTGTTCGCCACTTCGTGGGAGAGTGTCTGCTGTATAGGGGAAAGAATGGGGTGCTGTCCAGGTTCAGACCCTCTCTACTAGCAGCACCTATGCTTTTCACTCCTCAAGTGACCAATCAAATCCCCTCCACAACCTCCTCCACAATATCTGAATTCTTAGTGTCCTGCCTTGGTGGCAGTCTTCTAGCAGTTGGTGGAGGAAGGGGCCCTGCAGAACTGACTTCCTTGTTGCCCATTTCTGCCTTTTTCCAGCAGCCCACTGATCTGAGTGCTGATGGCATGGGTGAGTGGGTGGCTGGGAGCTCACCTTCTGATTTCAGGCGGTCATCATTCTGATCCATGTACTCCAGAGAGTTTTGCTTCTCCAGCTTCCTCTTCTTCCTGCAAATCAAACCACCCCCACCAAGAACAGAGCTATTGAGGGGGACACAGGAAGGGTTTGGATGACCATGAGAGAGGACTTGTGACAGGAGGATGGGCTGGGTGTGGTATATTAGTTTTGGAATGAGTTGCATCTAGGTTTACGTGTTGAGGCTGTCACTGGCTTGTGACTGTGGGCAAGTTATTTATCCAGTCTGAGTCTCAGTGTCTTTATCTGTAACTGGAGGTAGTCAGTTGTAAAAGGTAGCATGCGAACTCCAACCATTCTGCCTGACCCAAAGAAGATGCTGAGCAAGTGAAACCGTTATTAACAGTCCTGAGGTGGTCTGAGGTAGTGAGCACAAGATGCAGTTGCATACAAATTGAAAGATACATCTTTTGGGATAAGATGAGGAATCCAAAAGGAAATTTAAAGAGTCAAGGAAAGAGCCATGAGTGGCGGCTCACAATGGCCTACAAAGCTTCTTCCTTCCTCTTATTTACTCCATACCTTCCCATACACCACAAGTCAGCCTGTGGGCTGAGAAGACCCTTCTGGGATCCTCAGTCCAATCCTTTCCTATCATCCATCTATCCATCTATCCACTATTTATCAAGTACCTGCATGGCACTGGGATAACAATACTGAATAAGCTAGCCATAATGTCTGTTCTCATTCTTCCCAAATACCTTTCCAAGACCACTGGACTTTAATGTCTTCAACTGACCCAGCCTGGGTCAATTTTCCTTAACTAACATTAGGGAAAAACTAGGACCAACTGTCTGGATTCTAATCTTGGCTCTACCAGTTATGTGAGCTCAGGCAAGTCACTCAACCTCTCTGTCTCACTTTCCTCACCTACAAAATAGAGAGGATGACATTAACTATGTCTAGATGATTGGAAGTATTAAATAAGTTGACATTTGCAAAGCATTTAGAATAGTTTCTGACACATAACAAGCACTCCACCCATGTTAGCTGTGCCTATGTACCCCTTCTAATGTCCACTCAGCTCTTGAGTGCTTTTATGTTGGCTTTTCTGGCAGACCCTACCATAATCCCAGTCATCTGTCCTGCCTCCTTCCCTGTTAGAGAACTTTACCATCTACAGTGAGGTTGATGGTCTTCTCCCCGGTGAAGGTGTCATCGGTGATGGAGATTTCCACCTCATAGGTGCCCTCATCGGCCAGCTGCAGGTCACTGAGAAGCAGGGAACCATTTTCAAAGAGCCGAATACGGTCTCGATAGTCAGGACGCAGGGTGCCAATGACCTCTGTACCAATGGACTGTACCACGGTCACTGGCTTGTCCCGCTTCAACTGCCATTTCACCACTGGCTTGTCACTGCTGGTGCTGCTGTACTGCACAGAAAGCAGGGCTGACTTCCCCACCATGCCGTGGATCAGACGCACTGGGCTGGTGATGTTCACCCCCTCCAGGGGGTCTGTGAACAGAGGCCCATGGGGAAGAGGGTAGTATCAGGCCCTTAGCTCCTTAGCCCACTCCCACTGTTAATCCTTCTGATCTCCCAGTGTGCCACCCCTCTGGGCCCTTCACTTCTTGCCAGTCATTGATTCTTACCTATGGGTGCCATCTTCTCTCCCACAGTAGCTCTGTGCCCCTCCTCTGTCCCCCTTGCAGCTAGCCTATAGCCCTCCATTCTGCTGTTGCCTGGCCCTCTGCCTCTCTGGCATTTGTCTTATGGACAATTCCACCTACCCCACACTATGTTTCCATTCACAGAAATATTGACTGAGCACCTCCTGTGTGCAGGTGCTTTCCTATGGTCCTGGGATAAATCAAAAGCAAAGCAGTCAGACATCCCTACCCCCTGAAACTTATAGGTTACTAGACGTTAAGGTGAGTTGTCAGCTCTTCTTATTGGAAGTTGGGATGACTGAAAATGGAGGAAGCATGGGGATACAGATTCACAAAGAAAGGAGTATGACATAAGATGGTGCTTAGAAAGGAGAAACTTAGGGACCAGAAAACGTAGCCACTTCCCAGTCATACCAAGAGCCCCTCTGCCCCAAGAGGCAAGTAGCATCTTACTAGGTCTACCCAGTGCAGAATAGTTTTACAATTAGGTATGCAATTTGGGAGAATTCACCCAAACTCTAGCCTAATTTGTATTGTCTATAGAGGAAGGATTTGGATAAACAGAACAAAGACTTTGGGCCTTGCAAGACTGGGCTCTAGCTGGGTGTGTTGGTGCAAGGCTGCAATATAGCACTCAGGAGATAGAGGCAGTAGGATCATGAGTTTGGGGCCAGCCTGGGCTACACAGTGAGACTCTGTCTCAAAAAAAAGAAAGTCTGGACTCTACCAGTTACTGGCTGGGTGGATTTGGGCAAGCAATCTTTCTAAGCCTCAGTCTTCTCATTTATAAAGAATAGGAACAATAATAACAGCAACAACTTTATCGCATTCATAGGATTGTAAAGCACAATATAATATGCATATCAGTTATTGTTACATAGTGGAAAGAACCCAAGATTGAGCATCAGAGATCTAGGGCTATTGCTGAGCTGTGTGATCTTGGAAAAGCCACTTATCTGTTAGGGGTAGATTCACCATGAGTGGTAGGCTAGATGTTCTCACTGGGTTGTTCCAGCCCTGTGATTCTAGGATTTTACTATCTTGTCCAAGGGAAGCCCTGTTCGAAGACACATCTCACTTTCTCAGGCTTCTTAGCAGCTTTGGAGCCTGAAAAGCTTTGTTCTTTGGTGTCTCCTGGCCAGGTAGAGTCTTCCAATCACTCAAAAGAGAGTCTTCTGGAGAGAGTGCCAGTTGGGAGCAGGAGTGAGTTCAGCTGAATAGACACACATACGTGCCAGGTTCCCAGTCCCTCTGCACCTCAGCCACTTCTTTGATTATCTCTGAAGGTCCCTCTTTCTTTCTCACCCTTACTTTTCACTCTGCCCTAGTGCAGTTTAGAGTTGCGGAAACTGAACTATATCTTTTTATTTCTTCTTCTCCTTATCAAACCAGAGGGCCTGGACCAGACCAAGAGACAATTAAAGTAAAAAGTTGGTTGTGAAGATCAAAGCAAATTTTATTTACTAAACATATTCAATCCATTTTTTTGAGCAAGTGCTTTGTTAAGTAGTCAGCTCTTCATCTTTGTAAGAGGTCAAGGAAAGGTCTGTTGACTTCTCTTTCATCTCTCTGTGCCTCAGTTTCTTCCTTTTTCTAATGAAAGTAGTGGGACCAGATGATCTCTGAACCCTTCCCAACTCTGACATCCTATGATCCACTACCACCCAGGTGTTGTTAAATGATGCTACTGATTAAGGCTTGCATAGATGTAAATTTCTGAACATTGTGTGCTTGTTATTGAAGGGAAATCTTAATCTGAGGAAGGTAGAAGGTCAAAATCAACTATTTCCAAACTTTTTATTAAAAGTATTTTTATTCCCATGAGATCTTATATAAAAATGGAAATAAATATAATATAGTTCCAACTCACCTGCAATGGTAGAAGAGGTAGTAGAGACCTGAGTCCTATCTTTCCCAAAAACTTGGGGATCTGCTAGGAATTTCTATAGTTCTATGCACCAGATGGAGATCTGTTTGGTCACATGATCCCTAGGTTTCTTCCAACTTTTAGTCTCTGGTTATTTAAATGTGAGTAACTGCCTAGCAACTGCTAGGTCCCAGGCTTGACTTGATTTAGAAAAGCAAACTTTCAAATTTCCCAGAATAGGCAAATAGGCTCTGCCATGTATGCCTTGAAGTGGTTCTGAGAAAAACCATGGAGCTTCATGTTAATGAAGCCATGGTGGTGATGATCAAAGAGCCAGGGAGCATCTATTCCCCTTTCTCAGGGAAGTGCAGAGCTTTCCCGGAGTTTAGCAAATCTGAGTAATGACCCTGCTATGGTTTGTCCCCAAAAGGTTTATGTTTTGGAAGCATGGTCCCAATGTGGTGGTAGTAAGATGTGATGAAACCTTTAAGAGGTGGAGTTGGTTAGCTCACTGGGGGTGCTGCCCTTGAAATAGATAAAGGCAGTTATTGTGGGACCTTAAGTTAACTCCCCAGAGAGTAAGTTGCTACAAAAGAATGAACCTAACACCTTTTTCCTCTCTGGCTTCTTGTTTGACCATGTGATTTCCCTCACTTGCTTGCATTTCTTGAAGCCATCAGCCATGATATAGTTGTGGTCCCTTCATTAGAGCCAGTGTCAAACTGTTTGGGCTTTCTGTCTCCAAACCTGTGAGCTAAATAAATCTCTTTCTTTCTAAAGTACCCAGCTTTAGGTATTTTACTATAGCAATGGAAAACTGACTAATACAGAACTCAAGCACCAAACTTTAAGGCTTTTCATTTCCAGGAGGCTGGGCAGTGATGGCCTCAGCCCAAGACAAATGGAAGGGATTCCCTATCTTCCTTCTATAATCTCTGACCTCCCTTGAGCTTCCCTGGAGTATACTGTTTCCTATCCCATTCCAATGTCCCTTGGAATGCCTTCCCCCTCTGCTCTTTCTGCCAATTTAAATATTTATTTTGCTTAAAAAAACATTGGAGAATCAATAGCCTATGCCACGGGCCTTACTCTTATTTAGGTGAGTGCCTTCCTTATACCTATGAACATGGGTGTGCCAATGAGTAAAAGAGATGCGTGCACAGGCACTCATCAGAGAATGGAGCAGTCTTTCTCAGAAGCTGACACGGGCCTTACTCTTATTTAGGTGAGTGCCTTCCTTATACCTATGAACATGGGTGTGCCAATGAGTAAAAGAGATGCGTGCACAGGCACTCATCAGAGAATGGAGCAGTCTTTCTCAGAAGCTGACAAAGAGAGCATTTTGCTGAGCAATCGGTTTTGCAAAAACTTTAGCTACAATCAGAATTTGTCTTATGTTCAGCATTCCACAAGTTTCAAGGGACACAGAGAACTGGAACAGGAGCCAAAGCCAGACACAGAGTGAGGAAATGGCTAACAACTCAGGTCCAGAGTGACAATAAAAGGTAGTGGGACTATTCAACCTGGAGAAACAGTTAACTTAATCATTGTCTCTGAGGTGTCATTATGTGGAAAGTCTGTTCCCACCAGAAACTGAACAAAAGGAAATTAACATCCTAGCAAGATGTTCCTGTCAACCTAAACAATGCCCCATTGGGTTAGGTCAGTGGCCCCTCCTCAAGAGGAATTTTGACCTGCTGTGATACCAAGGAATGTTAAGCTTCACAGTATAAGAATCTACTTGCAAAGAGCCTAGGGTTCCTTTATAGCTTCTTCCCTCATTTCTTCATTTTTTATGGACTCCCTATGTTGGGCAAAAGTTTCCATTTTACCAGTATTTGTCTTAAATTTACCTTTGAAAAGTGTCAATGGGAGGGTGCCAAACTTGTGTTCTGGGATTTGGTCTCTCCAAACCGTATCCAACCTCTCTAATACCAAGGACTATAGCTATATCCCTTTTTTACCTGCAGCATTTTGCTTGTTTGTGCCTGTCTCCGTTCTATACAAGAATGAAAACAGAATTTTTAAACCTGTTGAAATCATCATAAAAAAAGGACTAAGGTAGAAAGGAGAATAATGGAGGGGATGAACCAATGCAGGATGTAATACATATGTTCATGGAAATGTCATAATGAAAGTTCTGTGTAGATATCTTAACAAACAAAAATGTCTTTATTCAAAAATGGAGGACAGGAAGGTTGAACGGTCCTGTATGGGGGTTGGTACCAGCAGAAGGGAGAGGATATAAGAAAAGCATGTAGGAGGATAAATATGGTGGAAATATTATATATTCATGTATGAAAATGAAAAAAGAGACCCGTTGAAACTATTCTTAGAATGGGAGATGGGTGAATAAAGGAGATGATGAATTTAAGTAAGATATATCGTAAGCACATTTTTAAATGTCACAATGCACCCCTCAGTACAACAATGATATGATAATAAAAAAATGAAGGACAAAAATTCCATCTACCCCTTTGTCCATCAGGGATACCTTTCCCTGGGCTTTGCTTTCTCCAACTATTTTGTTGCCTTTTTGAGGTGTGGTACCCAGACCTGCACACAATCCAAGAACAGCACAGGGGTCATATTCTAAAAGGAAAGACATATTGTTGTTTGCTTTTGTTTTGTAGAAAATACTGTATGGTGCATTACTTATATATTATTATTATACTTATATAAATGTTGGGATTATTGTCTTGTATTCTTATATTGTTATCCTGTTGAGGCCTAGAAGGGATCACAAGGTTGTGAAAACATTTGAGGGGTCATTCTTTCAGGGATGTGTAAGAGAGTCAGGAAATAGAAACTGTGAAGAAGGCAGCTGGGAAGAGAGGAGTCTAGAGCTGTTTATTCCTTAGAGAGCCTAGATGCTTAGGAACACATACCTAGCTCGTATGTATTAAGCCAGCACAAAGATTTACTATGTCTGTTTTTTGGAGCAATCCACAAAACCAATAATCCACAATTATTGTTAAGCTGTCAATTTTCCTAAACTAATCTAGATTTAATACAGTATCACTCAAAACCCAGCAGTTTTCCCTTTTTGATATTGCCACCAAGATAGATCAACAGAAAACAACATCCCCAAACAGAACTGTCATACATATTGGTGGGATGATAAACTGATACCACCACTTTGGAAAATAGGCCATATCTATATACATACACATACATATGTATAGATTCTGTGCTGTGGTTTACCTGTGTCCCTCAAGGATTTATGTTTTGGAAGTCTGGTTCCCAGTGTGGTGATGTTAAGAGATGGTGGAACCTTTAAGAGGTGGGGCCTAATGGGAGTTCATTAGGGCATTAAGAGTGCGCCTTTGGAAAGGATTAACATAGGGAGAACTATGTTATGCTCTGGCTTCATGTCTCTCCTTCCCTCTGGCTCTCATCTGTGATCATGTCCTCCCCATTGTTAAGGTCTGTGTATGAAGTGTTCACCAAAAGGTTCTTGTGTCAAAGGCCTGGTCCTTAGGAGGTGGATCTAATTATTGAGAGGTGACTGGATCATGAGGACACTAACCTCACTAATGGGTTAATCCATCCACGAGTTCATACTGAATGGGATATTGGGAGGTGGGGCCTGTTCAGAGGAAGTTGGTCACTGAGGATGGGCCTTGGAGGGATGTATCTTGCTTTAGCCCTTCTCTGTCTCTGTCTGTCTGTCTGTCTGTCTCTCTCTCTCTCTCTCTCTGCTTCCTGTCCACCTTGAGGTGAGCTGCTTTGCTCTACCATATGCTCCCTGCCATCCTGATGTTCTGTCAGTCAATTTTCTAGCAGTAGACAAGCCTTAGTTGAATGTTCTGGGAATTTGGCTGTGATGATTTTAGGAAAGTCTCATTTGTTCATATCAGGGGCCAGAGCATTAAAAACTTAATGTGTTACTTGTCTGAGGTTAGTGGTGGTTGCTGCCATAGCCCTAGATTAAGATAAATCTTCCAAGATGGCCACACATGGTTCAATCCTCCTATGAGTACCAATCTTAGAAACTACATTCTCCAACTTCCTTTGCAGTTACATATGATCATGTGACTGAGCTCTGGTCAACAGAACTATCGCAACACATACTGACCTGGGTTAGCAAAAAAAAAAAAAAAAAAAAACTCTTCCTTGTCTGTCCCTCTGTTGCTTTTGTTAGCTAGTTAGTCAGTTTGTTTTAAAATTATATATCTGGAAGATATAAAGAGAAATCTCATGGTGATCCTTGGAGATACACTTTAAAGTTGATAGAGCCCCATTAGCTTTCTCCCTGACAAACTTCATGCACCAATGTCTTTCCTCATCCCAGGCTTACAGCCACATTGAACTATCATGTAGTTAATGCCCAAAACTTAAAATTAGGAATTTATTTGTCACAGAAGCTGGCATTTTCCTCAATAATATAGTAAAGATGGCAGGAATTCATTAGAATCTCAACTCTGCTTGTTAGTCCACAGCAACACAATGGTCTCTGACCCTGCATTTACCTAATACCTGTCCTAACCATTATCTTATTAGCATGGTTTATATTTCAAATTTTTGTATATTTATCAAGTTACATCACATACAGAAGGTCCACAATCACCTTACATTTTTGCCTAGTCACACTAACAATTTTTCTATAATTTTTTCACTTACCATTGGATAACTTAAAAGAATTTGGGGACATTTCTGCTTCATATATTTGATTCCCAATTCACTGCCTCCATAACGTTAGCTCTCATTATTCCCTCAACTCATTGTAATCTCAATTGTGACTCTTCTCAGAAAAGCTAACAATAACCTCTTTTTTGGCGGGGGACGGCACTAAGGTTTGAACTCAGAGCCTCACGCTTGCTAGGCAGGTACTCTACCTCTAGAACCAATCTGCCAGCCCTCTGTTGTGTTGAGTATTTTCAAAATAGAGTCTCGTGAACTGTTTGCCTGGGCTGGCTTTGAACCACTATCCTTCTGATCTCTGCCTCCTGAGTAGCTAGGATTACAGGTGTGGAGCTAACAGTAACCTTTGAATTGTCATGTGAAATTGATTCTTTTAGGTCCTTATCATTCTCCTCCTCTTTGACACATTTGATGGTATTGGTTCATTCCCTGAAAACTTCTAGCTCTCCTATCTCTTTGACAGTTTCTTTTCAGTCTCATTAATAAACCTCTCTTTTTCTGCCTTCCTCTACAAATCTTGGGGTTACCAGATAGTCCATTTTCAGCCCAATTTTTCCTCCTCCTCATTGTTTTAACTCTTATCAATTGGCTGACAGCTTTCAACTACCTCCCTCTAACCCTGATCTCTCTGTTACCCAGATTCAGGCTACTTGGCATATTCACACAGAAGGACCAGGCATTTCAACTTAAACATGTGCAATATAAATCTCCATATCCCCTAACCCTATCTCATTTTTTTGTTTAAGGATTCACACAGAAACCTTACCTCCCTCTCTGGATCCTCCCAATTCCTATCAGTCACCAGGTCCTGACTTTACCTTCAAAATATTATTTCAGTATGTCTCATTTTCTCTATCTTTATTGTAATTTAAGTCCACGTTGTATCGCTCCTGGACTATTGCAGTAGCTTTCTTATGGGCTGAGTGGTGGTCTCCCCCAGTTCATACAGTAAAGTCCTAATCCCCAGCACCCCAGAATATAACCTTATTTGGCAGTGGGATTATGGCAGATCCAATAAATTAAGATGAGGTTCACCCTACTCCAGCATGTGTCCTTATAAAGTGGGGGAAATTGGACACAGATATGCAAACAGGACAAATGCTGCCTGAGGACTGCAGTTATGCTGCCACAAGCCAAGGAACTACCTGGAGCTGGAAGAGAGACCTGGGGCAAATCTGTCTTCGTTGGCCCTGTCTAAACATGGCCCTGTCTAAACTGTGATCTCCAACTTCTGCCTTCCAGAACTGTGAGATGATGAATTTCTGTCGTTTAAGCCCCCAGTTTACAGTACCTTGTTACTGCAGCCCTAGAAAATCAATAATACAAACTTCCTTTCTTATTTGCCTCCACTGCCTCCTAGCTGACCCAGGGAACTCTTTGACCCTGACAGTCTTCAAATTAAAAACCACCCAATTACCTTCCTCAGCTCATTGTTTATAGATTATATTCCAGTCTTGCCAGTATGGTTTATAAGGCTTTTGCCTAACTTAATAAAGAGTTTCCTCTCTAGCAATGCTGAACTGTTGTGTTCCACCTAAACACATGAGGTCATTTCAAGTTATTGACCTTTGCCCATTTCCCCAATAATAATGCCCACTCAAACCATACCTAATTTTCTTACCCTTTAAAATTCAGTGCAGACATTCCTTCTACCAGGAAACCTAACCTGATATTCCCCCACCCTCATCTTGCCCCAGGGGTAGGTGACTTTTCTCAGATGCCTATGTATTATCTGCACATCCGACTCATAGTAGTTCTTGCATTTTGTTAAAGTGATTTCTGCATCTGTTTGCTCCACTAAGTTGTGCATTTCTAGGCTTTGTAATATTATGTGTGGGGGCCTGTGTACACATAAAATATATTTAGTGTTTAAAATAAGATAAATTTTCCAAGGAATTGGTAGGGGGTGCTATAGCAGGTAGGTGTCTAGGAGTGAATTATGGATAGGTTGGTATTACAATCCCAAACCAAACTAGGAGGCTCATTATCCCTAAAGCTTCTTATATCTCCCATTCTGTTTTACACTCAGAAAATTCAGTGTGTGTGTGCGCGTTTGTGTGTGTGTGTGCGCGTTTGTGTGTGTGTGCGCGCGTTTGTGTGTGTGTGCGCACGTTTGTGTGTGTGTGTGTGCGCACGTTTGTGTGTGTGTGTGCGTTTGTGTGTGTGTGCGCGTTTGTGTGTGTGTGTGCGCGTTTGTGTGTGTGTGTGCGTTTGTGTGTGGGGGGGGGGGGTTGGAGAGGCACAAAACCCAAGATTTTCTCTCCTTCTCCCTCCAAGTCCCACCATAATCCTTTAGGAATGCCAGACTGGCCCACGCCAACTAGCTATTCCATAAGAAGTGGCATAGTGCCCTCCATCTAATGTGCTGAATGCCGTGGGCGCTTCAAAGTCAGGCAACCTTTTGGGGAAGTGGGTCCCCAGGCTGGGTGGGAGGCACATGGAATGAAGAGATACATTCAACACTGATGCCTCAATCCACTGACATGCTTCCCACGCAGCTGAACTCTCTTTCCCCTCCTCCCGCCCAAAGCCATCAAGCTCTGAACTCTCCCCTCCCTCACCGTTGAAAGCCCCGAGTCTGTCCTCCAGACCCTTTTTTACCCTTCTAGTCTCTTACCTGGCTGAATCAGAAGCAGGTAGACAAAAGGAGCGAGATGCAGGACCCTGGAGGCTCTGAACAGGGCTCCTCTTTCTCTCCTCATTTTGGGTGGCGTTCTCCAGCTCTGGTGCAGACAATTAGCATGATTTCTCCACTCTGGGCACGTCCCTTTGTACCAACTCGGAGTTTCTCTGCCCGAATACAACTCTGCCAACTTCCCTCTGAATACACAGAGCTCTGTGTGTGCTGGGTTTGTTCTCTGCTCTTGCTCAGACCTGGCATTTTCTAGTTTCCAAGCCCTATATCCCCAGTTTGGACAGGGTATCTGCTTAGAAGGTAATCTCCAATGCAGGTTCTATCTTGGGGGGCACCTGTGGCCCAGGGGTTATTCCCTTGTCTGCACTGAGTCCCACTCCCAGGGCAAATGAGGATCCGGACTCAGTGAGGGAACTGGGCTGGGACACATTCAACTGAATCTTGTGTTCTAACCGACTCTGTCTCCACTTCACACTCCTCATTCCTGAGAAGGGTCTGTGACAGAAGAGACCTCCAGTAAACTCTGAAAAAGGTGAGAGAGGAGACTTTGAAAAGCTGGGAAATGAGATACTCCAAAAGACCGCTGAAGAAATGGAAAAATCTGTTTTATCTCAAAGAAAGAAGATGGGAACATGGTTTGAATTCTGTTACTTTCACACCTGTCCTCAACCTGTTCAGGATTCTTCTATAACAGAATCACATTGATTCTGCTGACATGCTGTGTTCATTCCCCTTCGTTCAGCCACTGTTCTAGAACACGTCAGAGCAAAGGTGAAGGTAAAGCCCCAACAGCCAGTATCCTGGGGTTCTGTTACCAGCACAAAAGCCTAGCTGTGTTGTTCTGTCTCTAGGCTGTTCTGCTACCCCTACCCTGGCCCAATTCATGTGGCCACACCTCCTCATGAGGTGTGGCCAGAAGATGCTTTGTAACTGTGCAGCTTGTGATCTCTTTGAGCCTCCGACTTCATATCTGTAAAATGGGGAAAACGATTCTTTACAGGAATTGCTGGGAGAATTGATGAAGATCTGGCACAGGAGAATACCTAGCAAATTCTTTGTTATAGAGATGGCATTTAAGAGTGGATATGGTGGCACACACTTGTGATCCCAGCACTTGGGAGGCAGAGGTAGGAGGATCTGGAGTTCTTGACCATCCTGGACTACATGAGAAGACCCTGTCTCAAAAATCCAAACAAACAAAAGCAAAAACAGTAACAACAAAAACCCAATCACACAAAAAATCAAACTCTTTTAAAGACTGCCTTTTCTTCTTTCCTTTGTCATTCATACAGGGATCATTATATCTTGTGGAGACCAGAGCGCTCAACTCCCTCTTAGTCTCCTCTAACCCTGGTTTTAGTTTTATGAGTGCAGCAATTATCTCTACCTATTCTTTTTACATACTGGACAAAGCCCTGCTAGGCTAACTTTTCCAGGACTTAAGCATCAGTGCATAGCCAATCAGAGCCCAGGCAGGAGAGAAGTGTTGGGAAGCATTGGTTTTGAACTTCATGGAGGAACTCCAAAAAAAAAAAAATTCTGAAATGCAATTTTCTTTTCCTTCTGTATCTCTATGTCTGTGTCTTTTCCTAGACAACTAACTCAAGGCACCTGTCTGCCTTTGGAAGACTGTTGTTCTAGCAAGTATGCAAAGCAGGGGAAAAAGTCAGCATTCTGCTTCTGATATTTAAAGTCATGTTTTAGAGTCAGTATCAAGATGAAAGGCTTAACAGCCAGTCTTCGAAAAGGACAAAAGGATACTCTAATTTCTTTTACCAATTCCTGTGACATATTGTGGAGCAGTCTCTGGACCAGATCACAGAATTCTAGGGAATAGCCAAATGGCTGGTTTTGCCCATAATGGCTTGGCCTTGAGACTTATTGGGTGGGTAGGGATAAAAGAAGCATATGATGTTTAGGAAATAGAAAGCCTGAAGTCTGGCTGTTTTAGCCTGGAGAACTATGTGAAATAAAATATGACTGAGAGAGACCTCAGATGGATTTCAATTCTCAACACCCTCTTTTCTCCACCCTAAGGATGAGGCCTAGGTTTCTTACACCTGCACAGGATTTGCAAAGTGTTTAAAGCTCTTTGGAGACTCAGATGCTGAGAGGATAAAGAACTGGTGGGAAGCAGAAGACGGATCAAAGGAGCCACAGTGCACAGGACTGATGGCAGAGACCAAGTCTAGGGCCACTAGCTGCTGTGATGGAAGCCAGCATGTAGCTTATCAGGCCAGGGAGCAACCTAGTAGGAATAATGAGAATATCACATACATCCACGAATACTGCCCTTGCTGCAACAGGGTCTTCTCAGCCATGCCACTTACACTTGCCCCAACTCTTCTTAGAAAGACTCCTTTCTAAGTTGGGGTTGGGGGAGGAAATGAGAAAGGCTGTTTGAGCAATTGCCTGAGCTGTTCAAGCATAGATTGAGCTACCTAAGGAGAACATTAGCATGGACCAGATTTACTCAGCAGGAGGGATTAATGCGGAGTTTTCCTCTGTTATCCTGAAGGGCAGAGGCTCACACAAAGACCAAAGCAACTTCCAACACAACAGGGTGTTACTTTCCTTTGAATATCTGAGTGTACAGGAACATTTTTATAATTCTGCTTTGAGTGGTATTACATGTCTTCTTTTTCTTCTTCTTTTTTTTTTTTTTTAGAAATACCAGGGATTGAACTCAGGGCCTCACACTTCTGGGCAAGCTCTCGACCACTTGAGCCATGCCCCAGTCTTAGAGTGGCTTTGAGATGAGCAGAACTATATAATCATCTGCTTATGTGCCTTTTACCTAATAATCAGAGTAGTTCTTTATTTTCTTTCTTTCCTTCTCTCTTTCTTTCTTTCTCCCTCTCTCTCTCTCTCTCTCTGTCTCTGTCTCTCTCTCTTCCTTCCCTCCATCCCTCCCTTCCTTCGTTTCTTCCTTTCTCTCTTTCTTTCTTTCCTTTCTTTTTCAGTACTGGATTTGAACTCAGGGTCTTGTACTTGCCTAGCACTTGAGCTACACCCCCAGTACTTTTGCTTATAACTTGTTTTTCAGATTAGGTCTTGTGCTAACTTTGCCTAGGCTGGTCTCAGATAGTGTTCCTCCTAGCTCTGCCTCCCAAATGTCTGGGATTACAAGTGTGTACTACCATGCTTGACCTCAGAGGATTCTTTAAGGTCTGTGTTTATCTCAGCTGAGTGTGTTTGTCTTATCTAATTGATGATGTATTTTTTTCTTTTTAGGGATATCCTGATTGTTAATATTGTGCTTCTTTAATGTCAAATATATGTTTATACTTGTTAGTTTGCATGTCCAATTCTTCTGTTTAATTTTTCATGGTACAGGAGTTTGAACTCAGGGCTTTGTACTTGCTAGACAAGCACTCTACTGCATGAGCCACACCTCTGGCCCCGCATATCCAATTCTTGGATCAGATATTGCCATTACTGTGGCCTTCTCCTCTTCAGCCTGGTAGATTCTCCCAGGCAGAGCTTATAATTCTTCATTCCCCTGTGTGTCCTCACAGAGCCCAGTTTGAGCTCTGTATGTGGCTGCCCCAACAATGGGGTAGACTGCCTGTCTGCCTGATGGCAGAAGGACCCTTGCTTAGCCAAGGCCCTCACCCCTGCTTCCTCTGAGCACTCCAACAGATTCATTTCCGCAGGCATTGTACTCCTCTGAGCACTGTGGCCCAGTTCTCTTGGCCCCTGTGCTATACACAGCTGCTTCAGGCTCCTCCTCCTTGGCACCGTCTCCAGGGCTCTGGAATCCCAATTCATCACCCTAGCAGCGGGGGTACCCAGACCTGCTGCACTCAGAGCTCTGCACTGGTCTCCCAGATGCAGACCCTGAAGCTCAGAACAGAGCCCCGCCAACATGTATACATCCACCAGCTGAACTCAGAACTGCCTGTCTCTGGAACAGGAGGAAGGAGGAAGTAGTTGTTTTAACTGAGTCACCATCTAAGCAGGTACCTATGGGAATTGGAAAAAACAAACTAAAAAGCAGGTGGGGAATTGTAAAAGTAAGCTCTGTCTTCCAAGAAGAGCTGAAGGTCTTGCAGAAATGACTGCAGAGTAGTGGACTCAACCTGCAGCAAGACATATCCTTGTCCTTTTTTATTTCCCAGAGGAGGATGCCAAGTGACAGGCAGGTTAAGTAATTTGCCCAGAGTTAAGTTGTTATTAACTAGAGGACCAAGACATTTAAGCTACTGAAAACAAATAAAAATTATAAAAGAAAAAATAAAGTTACTTAATAGTAGAGGCAAGAAAAGGTAACACACACACACACACACACACACACACACACACACACACATATATACATACACACACACCCCAAATTTTAATAACTCTATCATTAGATGTAATAGAACCCCTACTTACTTGACATGTTTCTCTGTCTCTGGGCTGTGAGAGGAAAGATAATACTGCTAGAGAGGTTTTGGAATTACCTTTAGTAATTCTAAATAACAATAACATCAGTGGTGACATTTATATGTAGTACTTCCTCTTCCTGTCCTTCATTCACATCCTTCTATTATTTGAACTATATCTGTCTCATTCACTAAATTTTAAGTAGTCTTTGGCAGCAGAAAGAAACAAACAAAACAAAAACCCTTCCAACAAATGACCCCAAAATTCCTCTGAGGAAAGGAATTTTCTTTAACAAGAAAAATATCTAGCTGGGTGCCCATGGTTCACGCCTATAAGCCTAGCTACTCAGGAGACAGAAGTCGGGAGTATCATGGTTCAAACTCGGCCCAGGCAAATAGTTCAGGAGACCCTATCTCAAAAACTCCCAACAACAAAAAATGGGCTGACAGAGTGGCTGAAGTGGCAGGCACATGACTAGTAAACGCAAGGCCCCAAGTTTAAATCCCAGTACCACCACCAAAAAAAAAAAAAAAAAAAAAAAACAGAAAAAGAAAAGAACGATATCTAGATATGCCACTTGGAGTAGTAGGTAAGACTTACAGCAAAAAGAGTTAAGGAATAAAAAGATAAACTGCACTGCATTAGAAATACACCTGAATTTGGGGATGGGAAAAGTACAAAGAGAAAGAAATGAAG